AAAAGCCTCCAATACAGGAAACACAATGTTGCCAGCCAATCAAGACAAAAAATGCTACAAAACAGACAGAAGATATTAGAAACACCAATCAAGCAGAACACAGCAAACTCCAAGACCAATAAACACAGACCAAGACTCCCAACCAATCAGGATGAAGAAAAAAACATTCTGGCACAGCAGTAGGCTAGCACCAAATTTAAAACAGAAACGGCTGTGAAAGTCTGACTCACAGACGAACACAATAAAGAAGTCTGATGTTGGCAGATGAGATTCTGCCGAAACGTTGCTACAACTTTAAAAGCACAACTATAATGAGGTGGGAAAATACCTGAACAAAGCTGAATACCATACATATAAATACCCGCAAAAACTTAAGAAAACAAACATATATGCGTATATACATATGTGGGGGTGACTATATAACTGTGTGTGTGCGTGAACACCCACTTACATTTATTCTCAGGTTATTGGTAATTTAAAAGCAATAGGAAACTACAGGAAGATAAAAAAAAGAAAAATAAATAAGCTATTTTTCCTTTCCTTTCTTTTTCCCTTTCCTTTCCCATTTTTCTATTTTTCTTTTTACATGATTACAATGAAATAGAATCTTGAAAAATGAAAAGCAGTGGTGACATCAATATTAATACATGTTCAGAGATTTCTCATTATTTCTTAAGATAATGCAATAACCTTAGTTCTTTTCCTTTAATTAATTAACAAATGAAAGATGAATTGTAAATATTAGAATAACTATAAGCTGCCTATAACTGGCACCAATATTTGTTTTTTGTGTCATTTTCTATCTTTTTCCGCACTTTTATGTAGCTATTGATGTTGTCCTGTCCAATGTTTTCCTAAATAAATAAAACGTTAATTCTTAACAACAACAAAAATGAACAGGGAGATTAAAAAGCAAATGCTATGAAGTGTTTGCAATGTGTTCTAACCGGATTGAAATCATGAGGGCTTAACTTTGCTCACTTTCTGCTTTTTAAAATATCTCATCATTTGGACTATTATGAGAACTTCTAGGCTGATTTTGGAAATTGATACAAAATCCCATGTTTGTACTGTTCATACTCCATACTGTACTCTTCTTTGGCCAGAAAAAATCTGCATCAGGCATGAGCCCCCTCCATGGGGAACTGATGTGGAGTTTGTGCTCTTGGAGGCTTGAGAGGGATCTGTTCTTTATTATTCCCTATTGTGGTTGTTTTATTCTTCTATTTTGGCAGGCTCAGAGACACAGATTGGGCAAGGAGGGAGATTGGGAGATCTCAGTGGCCAAGATTGTTTGTTTCTCTTCCCTGTCTTTACCATAACTTGTAGGCCACTATGTTAGTTTGTTCAAAGTACTTGATTGCCCCCTCCTGGCCTTAGATGGACTTACATCCCCTTTAATTGGAAGTGGATTCTAATTAATACTAATTACTAAATAGTATTAGTATAAATTAGTTACTATTTATTTATTTATATTTGTTTAGTATAAAAGATACCAATTAAGATGTGATGTTAATAAGAACAGTTGCACATTTTTGAGCCTATTTTCTAAAGCACCTGAAGGCCAGACAAGGAATAATGGCTGGAAACTGAACGAGGAGAGATTTAACCTGGAAATAAGGAGAAACTTTCTGACAATGAGAACAATCAACCAATGGAACAGCTTGCCCTCGGAAGTTGTGGGAGCGTCATCACTTGAAACTTTCAAGAAGAGATTGGACTGCCATTTGTCAGAAATAGTGTAGGGTCTCCTGCTTAGGCGAGGGGTTGGACTAGATGACCTACAAGGTCCCTTCCAACTCTGATTATCTGTAAATCTGCCTACTGTGGTATAGCTAGACCATTAATAGTTTCTTGTCTTATAAGGTATAACTGTAAATATGCCTCCTTCAAAAAAAAATACTGTAATTTCTACAAATCCAGCAGAGGCTAAATAGGAAAAGGCGAGCCAAGAGCGTCAGTTAGCAGCTTCCGGTGGTTATTTCCTTTGAGAGCTCATGTTATTTCTCTTTTTTTCATCTGCTTTCTTCGCTCTCTCCCTGTCTCCCACACATACACATGTACAAAATCATACATTCAACGCATGTTCAGAAGGTGTTTTTTTTTCATTTTTGAGTGTATTTTAAATTTAAAACATTGATTAATACTGCCAATGAAATTCAGCTTTTCATTCTTCTCTTCCTCCTACAGCACAAATTGAAGTTATCCCTTGTAAGATATGTGGGGACAAGTCTTCAGGGATTCACTATGGAGTCATCACCTGTGAAGGATGCAAAGTAAGTTGGAAGCCTGGGAGTGCTTTGGGTGAAGGAGTGAACAGCTTACCAACTTTGCAACCTGCTCAGAACACAACTGTACTTGACCATAGAGAAATTAAACCTACTAACTTTTATGAAACTTCCATATCAATGTATATAGCCCATAGCTAAAGTCTGTTCTTAACCACCCTTTAATGATCTCAGAAAATCTAATAAATAAATACTATCAATATGAGGATAATGTCAATTGAAACCTAGTACACCTGGAACATCAGATTGGCAAAGGATGATATATTGCAAATATTATAATAGAAACAGATTTACCATTATCTAAAATCTTTTTAGTAGGACTTCATTAGTAATTACAAAGCGTTTAAAGGTCATGTAATCTCCAAAACACCATATGTAACACGGTACCCATTTTTGTGACACATTCCAGGCCCCAAATCATTTACACCCCAAAGATGTTTACATTTTGTTGACCTATTAAGAATAATATGTCACCCTGAGATGTAACAATTTCACATTCTAATTTAAATTGATTTGATTTGTTTCTGTTCATTAAAAAATATGAACAGAATTGTTTGCTAGACCAAACCTTTTTATATAAAAAGAGAAGCTTTTATAAAAACAGCAACTATTAGAAATAGAAAAATTACAATGAATTTAGTTGTGGCAAGAAAATTGGAAAGATTAAATCTTAGAAAAGAATCCCTAAATATGTTTCTTTCTTTGAAGATTATTCAGAATTACATAAAATGCTGTTCTTGGCTAGTTCTAGTTATAGGAGCCAATGATCCTTTGTTAAAAAGCACAAACAGTATCTGTTTTGAGTATTTAAGCTTTAAACCACTTAAGTCAGTGGTTTGCAACCCAGCAGCACCTATAGATATGATGATGTCCATTATACTTCAAAGAGTGCAAGACTTCAAAGTTTTTATAATTTCTCTGAATGGCCAACCTCTCACAAGATTGGTAAATCATGATGGATTGTATGCAAGAGTTTTGGAACTTTGGGAATCTTAGATTGAAAATTCATAAGCGATTTTAGGAGAGTTGGATTCCTCACATGACATCTTGGAAGAATCTGATAAGATTTAGAAATTGTGTAAGATTGGGGGTAGTTTGAGAAAGGGGGCACTCAGGACCAGGATGGCTACCACACCCTGGTTCAAGGCAATTTCTCTGCCCTGGTGTTAAGATTTTCTAGAAGAAGCTGTAATACTGTTTGGAGTGCAATTAGTGTGTTCTAAAGATTTGGGAAACCCTTATTAAGAGAAGCTTGTCTAAGCTCCTTTTAGAGATAATCTTCTACCAACAGAAATAAAGTCTTCTTTTTTAAATAGGAGTTTTGCCTCTACAGATGAGTTGTTGTTTTCTTTTGCTGCTCTGTGCGTGAATTAGCCGCAATATTGACATCCATTTAAATTTTTTTCTTATGTTTCATTCATATTTTATTTTGCTTATTAATTCACTTATTCCATTTTTATGCCACCCACCTTTTCCCTCCAAAATGATTCATATGGTTTTTAGGATAATTGGCTAGTTTGCCCTAGACGTATTTTATAGGAAAATAGAATATGGTATCCATCAAATAAATACATTGGCACGCAAGGTTGAATAATATTGGTCTGTCCAAAAAAAAAAAAAAAACCCAAACCCAGAGGTCTGGGTAGCACTTTTGCTGACTAAAAACAACCCTCTGCATACCTAACCGAACTCTGGTGGTTTTCCTTTTCCTTCATTTCTTTTTTCCTTTTCCTTCACTCCCCAACCCCTTGTTTAAACCCTCCAACCGTCCAATCATTCTATGCATCTAATGAGCTGCAGCTCACAACAGCTTATGCTTTTTAGTAACATGTGTTACAGTGGAATTAGGGCTGGAACCTTGGAGGTCTTCTAGTCCAGCCAAGGCAGGAGCTTTATATCATTGCAGTCAAATGGTTGTCTGGTCTATTTAAAAAAAAAAAAACTCCTGTGATGAAGCACCCGTAATTCTGAGAGGCAAACTATTCCGTTGATTAATTGTTCTCACCGTCAGAAGATAGTTGGAAAAGCTGCTATCAGACTCCTTCTAATCTCTTGTTTAAAACTTTTTGATTTTTTTATTCAAAAAGTTAAAATACAAACTCCCCCCCATCCAAAAAAACCCAATATTTTTTTAACATAACCAAAAGAAAAATAAATAAGACATTGGAAAAAATGCATTAAGAAAAAGGACACAAACATATACGTTATCTCCCCAAGTTGAATACTATATTCAGACTCCCTAATCAGCACAACACTCACCCTGCAGAGTAGGAAAGGATGAGAAGATCTGGCTGGAGTTACCCATAGGCTCTGCATGGAAAACTTGGTCCTGCATCCTCCCATTCACCATCCAGCTCTGAGAAACAGGGTAACAGAGTTGGAAGGGGCTTCGGAGGCCTTCTAGTCCAACCCCCTGCTTGGGCAGGAAACCCTATACCATTTCAGACAAATGGCTGTCCAATCTCTTCTTAAAAACTTCCAGTGTTGGAGCACTTACAACTTCTGGAGGCAATTGTTCTGAATTGCTCAAGTCTTTGTTCCTCTTTGAATTCTTGAGACAACGGCCAATGATGCAGTTCATTTGAAGCTCCTTTGGAATGGGCCGTAAGCGTCACACAGCCATAGCTGCCACCCAGCCGTCTTCCGTAATATGGCGTCCCCCAGTTTGTTGCAAATCTGAGCATATATATTCCTCTTTTTTTCTGCAGGGTTTTTTCCGCAGAAGCCAACAGAATAACGCCACTTACTCTTGCTCGCGGCAGAGGAACTGCCTGATCGACAGGACCAACCGAAATCGGTGTCAGCACTGCCGACTGCAGAAGTGCCTGGCCCTGGGCATGTCCCGTGACGGTGAGTGCTGGATTTAGTCTGGCAGGTGAAAACCGGTGAGCCACTGGGGGAACAATGTCAGAATGGCTCAGGGTTAGAAAAGGAGAGGAAGGATCCTGGAGGTGGCAAACAGGTTTTTAAACATGGATGCAGGAAGCCACAAGTTCCTCCATGAAGCGTGTCGGATGTAAACTAATCTAGGAGTTTAGTTGGTCATTGTGGTCTGAAATGGCATAGGGTCTCCTCTCCTGCATGAGCAGCGGGTTGGACTAGAGGACCTTGAAGGTCCCTTCCACCTCTGTTAATCAGAAAGAGATCCTAGAGAATTTAGGCAGGAAAACAAGGGGGTTCTAATTTTTCTGTACTGCAGTGCCACCTCTGGCCAAAAGGAAATATTGCAGTTTCAGATTCATCAAGTTGCGCCAGCACAGGTAGTTCACGACTTCCGACAATTGAGCCCCAAATTTTTGTTGTTAAGTGGGACAGTTGTTAAATGAGTTTTGCTCCATTTTATCAGCTTTCTTGCCACCATTGCTAAATAAAGCACTGCAGCTGTTAAGTAACATGGTTGTTAAGTGAATCTGGCTTCCTTATTGACCTGAGTTGTCAGAAGGTCGCAAAAGGTGATCATGTGACCCTGGGACATTGCAACGGTCATAAATTTGAGCCAGTTGCCAAGAATCTGAATTTTGATCACATGACTGCAGGGATACTGCAATGATCTTAAAGTGTGAAAAATGGTCGTCACTTTTTTCAGTGATGTTGTAACTTTCCACAGTCCCTAAATGAACTGTTGTAAATTGAGGACTACCTGTAGGCCTTGATTTACGAACATAATGGAGCCTACCCATCATGGTTGTAAGTCGTGATGGTCGTAAAGCAGGTCACCCACAAGACCAGCCTATTTTTATGACCTTTTTTGGCAGTTGTCATTAAGCAAGCGCTGAAGTGTCACCCAAACCATTGTGGTGTGTCACCGTTGACACGCGTGTCCTAGGTTCACCATCACTATTCTAGCTCTTTAGGAGAGCTCAACAGTCTTCATCCCTGGTGGTTCAGTGGATAGACTGTTGCATTGCAGCTAATTCTGCCGACAGCCTGCAGTTCGAATCTCACCAGGCTCAAGGTTGACTCGTCCTTCCATCTTTCCGAGGTTGGTAAAATGCAGACCCAGTTTGTTGGGGATAATATGCTGACTCTGTAAACCATTTAGTGAGGGCTGTAATGGCAATAGCACTTAGATCAGTGGTTCCCAACCTTTTTTTCGCCCCGCACCCCTAAAGAAATTCCACTTGAACCTCGCACCCCCTGAAATAAATAATAAATAAAAATGCCAACATATAGCCAATATCCTATTATTTACCTGGACTTTTCTCGCACCCTCTGGAATATCGTCTCGCACCCCCAGGGGCGAGTATCCCAGGTTGGGAACCCCTGACTTAGACTTATATACTGCTTCACAGTGCTTTATAACAGGGGTCTCCAACCTTGGCAACTTTAAGCCTGGAGGACTTCAATTCCCAGAATTCCCCAGCCAGCAAATCTGTCTGGGATATACTGGGAGTTGAAGTCCTCCAAGCTTAAAGTTGCCATGGTTGGAGACCCCTGCTTTATAGCCCTCTCTAAGCGGTTTACAGAGTCAGCCTCTTGCCCCCAACAATCTGGGTCCTTATTTAACCCACCTTGGAAGGATGGAAGGCTGAGTCAACCTTGACCCTGGTGAGATTTGAACTTCCAAATTGCAGGCAGCTGGCAGTCAGCAGAAGTAACCTTCAGTACTGCATTCTAGCCACTGCACCACTGTGGCTCTGTAAAGCGGTATTGCTATCCTCACGCTTGGTTTTGCTTTCTTTGTTTTGCCCTAATTGGCTTGCAGCAGTAAAATTCGGCCGCATGTCGAAGAAGCAGCGGGACAGCCTCTATGCCGAGGTCCAGAAACACCAACAAAGCCAAGAACAAAGCGTGGGAGCCAAGGACGACCCAGAGACCATGTCAAGGGTCTACACCACCAGCGTGAGCAGCGGACTCTCTGACCTGGATGACATCTCCATGTTGTCGGACAGCTTCCTCTTTGATTTTCCCCTGAGCCCTGACGGGAACAGCAGCTACTACAACCTGGATCTCCTAACCTCAGCGCAGCCATCGCCCGACCAGTCCAGTATCGACGTCAGTGACACCAAGTTCATTAAGCAGGAGTCCATCTACGAGCTCATGCTGGAACCTAGCCTCTTTCCTCATGGTCCCCTTGAAAGCAACACGTTGACTTCAGACATTTCAGCGATGGAAATGGGTTAGTATAATGCTCTCTCTACTTGCAGCAGTCAAATCTCTTCCAACACATAGGAGGAGGGATAAAGGCCACTGCTAGCCATTATACAGGCTGCTAGTGTTATCCATGCTGTGTCAGCACCTATTTGCCCTCTCTGTGTTCATGCATGCTTCTAGTCCTGATTGTTCTTTGACACTTTAACAATTTTAAAAGAGTTAAGCTATCTGCAGCGCAAGAACTGGAAATAACCCTAAAACCGGTTTTTGTTCTTTCTGACTATATTTGCTAGAAGTCAGTGGTCCAAATTCCTTGCATTTTGAGGTGGGAAACATCTAAAAACCATTGTCCGTGCTATCAAATGGAGCAAATAGTTTAAAAACAAAACAATCACAGAATATTTCCTAAGCTAACCACATTGCTTCATTGACTTGCTCACTAAGGCCAGATCACCAAAGAATTAAATATAATCGCTGAACTGTCCAGTTTTAGGCTGATTGCATGTGCATTGAACTGGCTTTTAAGTAGTTTACTCGAGCGTAACAAGCAATTGCAGGTAGCCCTCAATGTGTCTGACTATAATTGCAGGTAGCCCTCAATGTGTCTGACCATGTGAACCTGGCATTACAGTCAGAAGTCATGGCAGTTGTTAAGAAGGTCACCACATGACCGCACCCAATTTTATGACACTTTTGTGGCAGTTGTGAAGCAAACACTTTCATAAGCAAACAAATGTGGTAGTTTAACAGAACACTATTCTCTTTAAACAAACCCATTGTACTCAATGGGTGTTTTTTGCCAGAAACTAAAAGTAAATACTGGAAATCAGCAGAGCCTGCCAAAAATCCCAGTCAAATGATTGCAACACTGCAACTGGCCATAAAGGTGAGCCAGTTGCCAAGTGCCTGAAATGCAGTCGCGTGACTGTGTGGGGGAGGGGAGGGGAATGCCCATTGGAACTCTGCAAGCTGGTCGTAGGTAGCTCTGGTGAGGTCCGCCGTAACTTCAAACAGTCTCTAAGCAGCCAGTCATTAAGCAAGGAGTACCCATACACACATACATATACACACAACAGGGAGAGAGTTGGTGGGTGGAACTGCATACATTCCTGCAACATTTACAAGGATATTGTGGTTTTGAGAGATTGACATCCAAACCCCAAAACAGAGCATGGATAATTATAGTCCAAAAGTCCAGTTGTCCAGAAGATTGATCAACTGGTCCAGGGTAAAATTGCCGAGGCTAGGATGCAAACAGAATAACAAATGCAGGAACACATAGAGTCGAGGTTGGTGCAGGTGGTTTTTAAAGTGAAGAAGATGCCAACTTTTAGTGGGTGTTGTAATATCTAACACCTAAGCGAGATGGGCAGCGTACAAAGAAAGAAAGAAAGAAAGAAAGAAAGAAAGAAAGAAAGAAAGAAAGAAAGAAAGAAAGAAAGAAAGAAAGAAAGGTATGCATATCAGACCTTGGAGATAGGCAAAGTGAAGTAACATAAGTTGGGATTCCACAATGTGACTTCATTGTTGTATCTGAGTTCCTGTCTGTGCCATTTTATACCGAACAGCAATCAAGCAGTTATTTTTAACTTTCTCTCGCACTCACATCTGTCTCTGGACTGTGCGATCTCTTCTGCAAATCCCTCCTTAATGGCTTTCCTAATGTCAGCTCTAAATCCTTTTAAAGTTGGTCTCTTGGCTAAGCTCTTCAGAGTTTCCAATGTGCCCTCCAGCTGGGTGATCTTTCAGAACAGAGTTTGAGAAACCTTGGCAATTTGAAGGTGTGTGGACTTCAATTCCCAGACTTCCCCAGCCAACCATGGCTGGCTGGGAAATTCTGGGAGTTGAAGTCCACACATATTTATTATGTTGCCAAGGTTGAGAAACCTTCCTTGCTGCAGTTGATCGCCAACCAGATCTTCTGGGTCAAGCCTCGCCACCTCTGAATCTGAGGAGGAGGCCAATGTAGCATCCCCAAAAGATGGGTGATGCCTGATTTTAGGGGTGGAACAAATGCCTTGGGAGCAGAGATCTTGAATTTAATTCCTGAGATCTGGCTATCGCTGATGGGAAAGACACTTGTGAATCATCCTGAAGATGCAGCTAATCAGAATAGATAATGCTAATAACTGACCTTATGTTCTTGACTTCTGCCTAATCCATTTATCTTGCTTTGGTGTTTAGCATCAGCTCCTCTTTTGATTGCAGTATCTAATCGTACTCAGTTACTCAGTCATGTAACTGTAAGCAATGATCATACAGTGATTAGTGGGATTATTCCTGCCCCCATCCTCCACCCCTTCCTTCTCTGCCTTCCCCACATTTGATAGTTGGCATGCAGAGGTGCCAAATATTTTGTGCTTCTGAGTTTATGACATGACGTGACATATTGAGATGGGTTTTATGCTGGATAGATGTTGGAGTTTAAACCCACTAAAATGTTGCTTTCTGACTCATAACGGTTAGATACTGTAATCAAAAGAAGAGCTCAAGGTGGCAAACATATCCAACACATCTTCCTATTTTCCCACAACAACCATCCTGTGTGAGATGGTTTGGGCTGAGAGAATTGACATTCCCACAGTCACCCAGCTGGCTTTCATAGCTACGGCTAGTCTTGAACTCATGGTCTCCCGCTTTCTAGTCTGGCGCCTTAAGCCACTAGACCAAACTGGCTTTATATTTATATATATATATATTTTAATTTCATGTTCAGTTTCAGGATATTTCTTTTGGGTTGGTTGAGATACTCATCTAAATCCATTCATAAAAGAATCCCAAAATAATGAATGACTCAATATGAATCAGTCAATCAGATAATGCAAAGAATCATTTAATGCAAAACCAAGAGGCTGTTTTTTCTCAAACAACAGTCTTAACAGTACTGTGATTTCCATATGACCTTTGTGAGACAGTCAGAGCTGCCAAATAATTTTCCAGTTTGCCGACAGAGCACAATGCTTAAGAACCTTTGCAATGTTGCATTCCCAGAGCGCCTAGCCCAGAATGTGGTGAAGTCGCACCTTGAGACATTGCAGTACACCAGCGAGGAGCTGCAGCGGTTCGCTTGGGCACTCTACTCTCAGGAGGAGATAAGGACCATGCAGAACACAGTAAGTACTTCCTGCAGCATTGAGTTAGGAATCCCTCTTAGTCTGAGCTACTAGTGCAAGGGTGGGCAACTATGGTACCTTTACAACCTGGTTCAGGAATTCTGGGAGTTGAAGTCCACAGATCATAAAGGGGCCATAGTTGCCCACCCCTGTGCTAGAAGTGTCACAAA